TAGAGTCAAGCATTATTGGGGAGGAATGATTAATCGTGAGAAGACCAAGGTTGTACTCGCTGATGATTAGGCGAGACTTTGCGTCGTGCCGCAATGTTAAACTAGGTGCTTGTTGAGATGCAACCCATTTTTACTGATTCCTTTTATTATTATTATTATTATTATTATTATTATTATTATTATTATTATTATTATTATTATTATTATTATTATTATTATTATTATTTGTTCTTATTATTATAGTAGTATTTGTTTTTGTTTTATAGGATTATAAATATATGAGGCAAAGTCATTGGAAGAGTGCAAAAACGAGTTAAAGGTTGAGGACTAAGTGTGGGGTGCCCACACGAGGGACTATACCTGGGGGAAGCCTGAGTACTCGTGAGCTGCTATTGCTTCGGCCTTTGGCCTTTCAGGGAGTTTCTTGTCCACCCTTATTATTGTTTTGCTTTAGATGTACATTGAGAACACTGCACTCTTTTAAGTGTGGGGTGAGAGAATTTTCTAGATGATTAGTAGGAAGTTGTAGCATTTATTATCTGGAAAAAAAATCGAAAAAAAAATTAAAAAAATTGGACTTTTCCCGACGATGGATTTCCTAGACAGTTTTCTTGAGGGATTTAAGTCTAAAGAAAAAGGACAAAAAGATTTTCTTTGTAGGTAGTGTAGAAATTCCCCTTTGGTTTTTCTTCGTGCTGCGGTTCTTTTCCAAGGGTTTTGTTTGAACTGGGTGTAGGTAGTTTTATTTTTTTAGGAGAGAAGCCATTGTGTTATGATTGAAATTGAAGCAATATCTTTTAACTTTGTAATGCCTTGAGAATAGTGAATACTTTAGTTGTGACGCTTAGGCTCAATTTTTGACTCTTGTATAAGTACCTTAAATTGTATGATATTAACTTTGCTTAACTTCTTTGACTAGAGTGTCTTGATGAGTCCAATCCTGAGTGAGTTATGTGCCATGTGTGTGTAAGGTTTCGTGTTATTCTGTGCATTACATTTGATGTCTAGAACTTGCCCCGTGTGTTTGCAAAGCGAAATAGTAGTTTTGTTCAGTCTTGGAAGTGATATAGGCATTTCTTTATTGAGCCATATATATATTTTACCCGCCTAATTGCTGTGTATCATAGTTAACCTCTTTGAGCCTGTAATCCTGTTTCTTTCCATATTACAAGCCTTACCCATGTGTTTGAATTAACCATCTATTTGAACTTTTTCACCTCTCATAAGCACTTGAATTGTTATGAACTTTGTAAAAGTTAAAGTGTGGGGTGGTTGGTTTGGCTTTTGAGTGAAACTAATAAAATAAGGAGAAAGGTGCATTGTTTTGAAAAAGTAAGAGCCACATGAATTGAAAAGGAAAAAATTAGTTGTATTGCTGATAGTGGTAACTATTGATGTAATTGTGCTTAAAGAAGTATGGAGTTAATGTACATTGATGTGAAGGTGGAGTTATGGTTTGACATAAGTGTGGGGTTTTCAACGTTGTGTATGTATTAAAATGCTTAGGGAGGTATAGTCACACTCTTATATCTAAATGTATCATACCCGTCCCGCATCCTTCATTACAACCAAAGAAAGTCCTACTTGATCTTAGACTGAATGAGCTCGATTAGTAGAGTAGTACACTACGGGCAAGCCTATGGTGCATCTTTTGTGGCATATGAATGTTATTTCTGAGAGTGAGCGAATTCTTTCTATCTTGAGTTCCTAATTGTTCTTAAATTTTATTGTGTGGAACTACTCTCTTTTGTTGTGTGAGGGCACTTGATTCATGAAGGAAAGGTAATGTCAGTGACCTCTATGTTAGAGTAAGTGGGTGAGTTACAAATAATGCGCGGTACTTGTGAGTCAAATCTTGAGGTGAAGATGTTACACTCTTGTGCTTAGTCTATTTTAAATATTTTTGGTGTGATAAGTTAGGAGAATTGTTTAAAAGGTTGTGTCTATATAGAGTGTAGTTTGATTGCTCGAGGACGAGCAATGGTTTAAGTGTGGGGTGTTGATGATAGGCTATAATTGTGTATTTTAGTCGCTTATTACACTCATATTTACTGCACTTTAATTGAGTTTGAGCTTTAATCGCTAGTGTTTTGCACTAAATATGTGTTTTATGCCTTGTAGGAGTGATTCCGATCTATGTAGGCGTTATGGAATGAATTCAAGTGATTTGGAGCTTTGAAATCTGAGTAAAAGCCCAAGACATTAAGCTGGGATCGTGTTCGGAGGTCGTGTACCAAGTCAGAATGTTAAAAGAGGACAAAATAAGTTCACTCTAACAAAGTTACACTGTCGCGCCGCATGGGACGCCGCAAGGCGCGGCGCAGTAGTGTAAAATGTTGTCTGATGCAAAAAGTTGAGGCTGCTGATAATTTCCATTAGCGCGCCGCAGTGTGCGGCACGGCTGTACAAATTTCACAGAGCCAGAGTCCTATTTCGCACAGGAGAAGGTGTTTTCGTCTGGCCCCGACCCTACTTGGTATAAATACATATAACAACGTTATTTTGAGGATTTTGGACGGAGCTTAGTGTGGGGAGACGCACTTTGGAGTAAAAATACACACAAGAACATCTCAGATTTCTTCATCTTTTCTAGTATTTTCAATTATTCAAAACTTATGCAATTGTTTGAATTCATCATGAGTGGCTAAACACCCATTGTTCTGGAGTTGTGATTTAGCCATGAATATTGTTGTTTAACGTTGACTTGACCTTGATTATAATTCACCAATATATGGTTGTTTCTTCAATTCTGTATTTAATTGCTTAATTGTCTAGCCAAAAGTTAGGTTCTATTTATTATCTATGCTATGCTTGGGAAAGCCGTTGTTAGATTAGAGAATAATTGAAGAGAGCATTATCTTAACCCTAGGGGGAGCGGATTTGTGGTTAGGATAGGAATATACCTAGTCACCGTGCTTAATTAAATATCGTGATCTTAATGCGTTTTTAATAGATTAATTTCATAGGAATATAGGCATTAATCTATTGAGAATAGGTGAGTAGTACTTCGGGAGAAGGCTATGAGAGCATTTATCGATTAATTAGCAACCATGAGTGAATTACATGAAAGAGAGAGTTAATGAGAACACAATACGAATGGTGAATCGATCACAACCCTGGAATATTTGTCTCTACTGAATACACAACAATCAACTTGTTACTTGATAATTTAGTTATTAGTTAGAATTGTAGTATAATATAATCATATTATTGAACTTTAACTTTAAGCTGGATTGAATAACAATTCTAGCGATTTAGTAAGTAGTTTGCACAAGTCTCTGTGGGTTCGACACTCAACTTTTCATTATATTACTTGTCGACCACGTATACTTGCGTGTGAGTTTGGGAGCAACAACCGGCGTATTTTCTTACGACTGTACCCTTCATCGTTTGCTCGAATGTAACGTTTGTTTTGTGATGTAAGCTTTCCGACTATTTGACCCCGACAATGGCCGAGGTGCTCTTTGCTATCTCGTCCCGTGAATATGATTACGGCTTGGTCGACCCCTTATCATTCCTCTTAAGGACAACCATCTAGTTAGATTTTGACCCATACAAAGTGCAAATTGAGAACCGTTAGTGAGAAGGGTCTTATTACCATTAGTGACCGACCAGTGCGGATGAGAATTGGTAAGATTAGTGAACTTCCAATACGAAAATATAGTTAAATTGAAAAATAAAAATTGAATAATTTCTATAATAACATATTATTTAAAACTTAATGATTGAAGTCAAATGCATTAATAGTGTAAACGATTTTTATATTACTAAAATAGTTTAACATAATGAAAAGAAAACCATAAAGTTTAACATATACAGTATATTTTCTAAGTATATTTGTTTACTTTTTCGATTACACTCACAATTCCAAGTAATTAACTATTGCTAGCTGCCAGGTTATCCTCTTTTGCGAATACACACCATAATAGCTAGTTCAACTTTTTAAAGATAATGTTTGGACATCTATTTGGCTGAAAGTTTAAAAATGAATTTTTGAAATTATGTTAGAAAAATATTTTTTGGAGGTTGAAGTTGTATTTGGACATGTATTTTATTTGAAAAAAAAATTATAAAGTTTTGTAAGTAGAAGAAAAAATTCACCAAAAAACTTTCCTAAACCAGGTTTTGGGAACTTAAAAAAAATAATGCAATTTTTTTTCAAAAACTAATCATGTTCCATGAACAAATAGTGTATTCAAATTTTTTTTTTTTTTTGAAAAAATGTACCCAAAATCTATGGCCAAACGGGTGCAAATGACCTAGCTAGCGTATGGCCATAGATTTAGTTGAAATTTGAAAAAACGATTTTTTGAGGATGAAATGAAAAATAATTTTTGAAAGTTGAAATTGTGTTTGGACATACACTTTACTTGGAAAGAAATTAAAGTTTTGTGAGTAGAAAACTTCAAAAACTACTCTAGAACTATTTTTGAAATTTGAAGATTTTGTTTACAAAATCTCCCAAAAAATGGTTAAAATTTATAAACAAATACTCTCTTCGTTCCAATTTATGTGAACATGTTTGACTGAGCACGTAGTTTAAGAAAAAATAAAAACTTTTGAAATTTGTGGTCCTAAACAAGTTAAAAAGGACCAGAGTATTTGTGTGGTTATAAAAACTTCTCATTAATAGTAGAATTGTAAGTTTAAACTAAATTGTTTCCAAATTTAGAAAGGAGTCATTTTTTTTTGGATCACATAAACTGGGACGGAGGGAATAGGTATTTGGAAAAAAAATTCCAATATCTATAGCCAAACGAGGAGATTAATACTGCCAAAAAGAACTACATACTATTAGTGCATATATATAGTTAACCGCTAAGAAAAACTACATACTATTAGTGTAGGTAATATCTGTAGCTTATAATTATATTTGATTTGTAAATTATTTTTTAATATTAAAGGAAAGGGCAGTGTAGTAACCTCTTGTGTGAATATACAATGTGTGTAAAATTCACTTTCGATTATCAAATGTGAGAGAAGTGGCAAGATATTTGGCTCAATAAACCCAAACTTGGATTGCAGGGTAAACAGTGAGATAAAGAAAAAGTGTATGAGAGAGAGAGAAGAGAGTATGTACTGCAGTTAGTCTTAAATTGAGGTTAGCTCTGATCTGCTGCAGATGAAAGATTGCAGTCTCCATGGCGGCGTCACAGAGCTATAAATTTAATGCACCGTAATCAAAATCGGCGACAAAGAATCCAAGTGAAGTGAAAGCAAAGATATATAAGAAGAGAGAGAATCATTAAGGGGATCAACGATCTTTTTGTTTTTCGTTATCCTAAAAAATTCCTACAATTTGTCCTGAAAAGCTGCAAAGGAAACAAAACCCACAGTAAGTCAGAATTTTCCCACTTAAAAATTTACTACCCCAGTACTGCTACTACAAAAATTAACATGGTTATCATCAAAACCCCATAGTTCATATACTTGCCTTTACCCTATTTGTCCGTATAGGCTGAGGGGGGCCGGGTCTCTTTTGGCAATGGATATGCAATCAAAATTGAGGTTAGATATAGCTTCTAGGAGTAGAATATGTCTTGGTTTTTCGGTCTAGGTGGGGGGAAAGAGCAAGAACGAGAAGAATTAGCTACTAATAATTTGTTGCTGTTCAAGAACGAAGAGATCTACAATAAGGGTTTCAAGCTATGGCAACAGTTGCAACAACAAAGACAACAACAAAATCATCAAAATCAAGAGCAAGATCATGTGGATTTCTCTATCTGCGTGGGTCCAGCTAGTAGTAGTAAACCTAGTAATAACAGCAGTAATTCTTGTAGATCATTAGGGTTTAGGGTTATGAATATGAGGGGAGGAGGCAGTAGCAGTGGAGATCAAGGGAATGTGAATTGCCAAGATTGTGGGAATCAAGCTAAGAAAGATTGCCCACATTCGAGGTGTAGAACTTGCTGTAGGGGTAGAGGCTTTCAGTGTCAAACGCATGTTAAAAGTACCTGGGTTCCTGCAGCTAGAAGGCGTGAAAGGCAACAACAATTTTCAGAAAATCATCCCAAAAGGCCAAGAGACAATATCTCTGGTTCCTCTCTTGCCTACACTCGTTTACCCACTACCTCTTCAGGTAGCATTACTTCTTCTTTAAATATAGTATAGTAGTAATTACTTTGGGCCAAGTTCTCACTGAATTCCTTAAAAATGCCTCGTATTACTATCACAAATACCACTGTAGTTTTTACTTTTATGAAGTTAACTAAAAGTAAGTGGCAACGAAAATCAAGACCAAAATGGTGATGATATTCATAGCTACGTCAAGATTCAACTGTTTATAATCATATATATGTTGACCAGCAGACCTTTTTTTCCACTGTTTTTTCCCCTACTGATGGTGTTTGTAGTCATGGAAATTAAATAATCTTTCATTCTTTTCGAATTTGAAAGGACTCCATAATTAGTTTTATGGTATAATTACTGTCTAGGGTTAGAGGTGGGTAGTCATTTTCCTCCAGAAGTGAGTTCGCCAGCTGTATTCCGCTGCGTAAAAGTGAGTGGAGTCGAAGATGCAGAACAGCATTATGCTTATCAAACAGCTGTGAATATTGGAGGCCACATTTTCAAAGGAATGCTTTATGACCAAGGCCCTGATCAGAGTCGCTATAGTAGTAGTGGAGGAGGTGCAGGAGAGAGCTCATCGCAACCGCTTAATTTCATCGCCGGCGCCACAGCCGCCGCAAGTAGCCAACAGCAGGGCGTTTCCATTGCTATGTTTGATCCAGCTTCCATATATCCAAATCATCAACTTTCTGCTTTCATGGCTGGTACGCAATTCTTTCCACCGCCAAGACCTTAATTAGGTCATCGAATAATTAGTCCCATTATTCCTGATTTTGTTAGAGAATATATAGGGGTAGAGAAATTAAGAAAACTTGTTATATATTCTTCATGAAGGAAGACATCAATTGGCATGATGGGATGTTACAAATTTTGTTAGTCGTTTGTTGGTAAGATTTTGCATTTTATTACTGTAAGCTCCTCTTTCTTAGATGGAATGGAATTGTTTTTTGTTATTTTGTGCCGGCATGAGGATGTGTGCAATATGCATATTTCTGTGTTTGGTTTTTGTTTCCTAGGTTTTTCTACTCTGAGGATGATTTTGAATTGGCTTTATGGTTGGTTCTGAACTCGATGCTTCTTCTTTCTGGTTGGTTTTGAACTCTATGTTTACTTTATTCCCACCTTATCCGTTTGCTTGCCGGATAAAATTAGGACGTTATAAATACTTATTCGTGTTTTTTCGGGACCAAGATTATGCATTTCTTTTTTTCCTTGGATCTCACTATGGTTTGGCAGGGTGAGGTGGGTATCGGAACAAGGATTTAAGTTATAGACACTTATTAAGTATGTGATACTAGTAGTTTAGTAATTATTTTCATCATATTAGTATTAATTATCATAGCAACTTACCAATAATTACCATACAATCTGTTACTTAATTGTTTAAATATTTTTTTATACTATTACTACATATACTTTAAACTTTTGGAACAAATGTGCACTGATTCTGTGTATCTCACACAAATGAGGGATTACTATGAGCTGCTCAGAAGAGTACTTGTGAAAACAAAGGATATAGTGTTAACGTGAACCATTAACCATATGTTCAAATATTGTTAGAAACCTATGTAGGTATGCAGTGGCTGCATGGGTGAAGCCACGTGGTCGTAAGGGTGATCACTATGTATATAGATATAATATTATGTTTTAGAGGTATAAAACACATACTGAACACACTTTGTCAGATTTTTTTTATTCTTTTAAATTTGAACACGCTTGGAGAAATTCTTAGCTTCATCATTGAGTGGATGATCCAAGATGTTCCTATAATGGGTGCGCTACTACATGTAAGCTGACATATGTAGCATATACTTTCTTCGTACCAATTTATGTGAACCTGTTTGATTGTGCACGGAGTTTAAGAAAAAATGAAGATTTTTAGAATTTATGGTCCTAAACAAGTCAAAAAGGGGTCCACGATATTTGTACGGTTATAGAGGCTTCTCATTAAGGGTAGAATTAGAAATTTAAACTAAATTGTTTCTAAATTTAGAAAGGAGTCATTCTTTTTGGAACACTGAAACGGAAGAGTAATTAATAGTTTCAACTGAATTCAACGTTTCCAACACACACAATATATGACCTAGCTACTATGGTGCACATAAATACATATCGACAAAAAAATAGTGTAAAATGCCGGTATTAGGTTTTGGTACATACGGACTATGGTGTGGCAATATATGAGCAATTGTGTCGGGACCCTTGTATCTACATATGCTACTCAATTAAGTAGACAACTAGACACGTGGGATGGAGCAGAAACACGACCAATCTAATTTCCCTTGATTCGAAAACTCCGAACCTGTAATAGTACGTACTGTATGTTATCTTTGACCGATTTGGACAAACAGCAATGAAGTTCTGTACGCGCTCTTCTTTGTGATATTTCTCGCAACCCTCCACCATTTAGGTTGCAATCATTCATTACATTGAGTTTTTAAAGGTCCACCTTCTTAAGAATTTGAGGGGAAAGTGATTCTGGTTTCCCTTAGTTTTGGCCAACTTGAAAATCTGCTTTAATTAATGTATATAGACCACGCTTCTCGTTGAAGAATTTTCCTGTCTGGAATTTCCTTCGAATTCCAGAGCCAAGTCTGCAGACTGGAAGTAGTGATTGCTGAAAGTCAACGTGGTATCCTTTAAGCAAAACGCTTCTATTCATTAGACCATCGGTAGGTTATTGCTTTGTCAAAACACTTCATGGGATTGCTAGTTTTATCTCGAGGGACAACATCATAATTTTTCAGGAACTTATCATTTTCTTTTCTGTTTCTTCATGCTTAATCTTATGCACGTCCCCAATAGGCAGCCACTCGAGGATCTAAATATGTATCTAAATTTCGAACAATACTGTAACAAATTAATTAGATTCTGGTTTTTATACAATTAGATTTATAAAAAATTAGGGTTAATCATAATCAATATCAATATTCAATAGCGGATCTAACACTTTTAGGGAAAATATTTAATGTGTAATATCGGACCAGTATTTTAAAAGACGTGAGCGTAAGGCGAGACATTTTACATATGCCTCAGTGAAGCATAAGCCCCGAGGTTCGGGCATAAGCCCCATGAGTATTTAATTCTTAATATTTATAAAATAATATAATTTTATTGAATCCGGGCATCGGAGAATTGATTCGCGATTAGGATTTACATATTCTAGTTTCCTTACCTGGTTATTTTTGCAGGAAATATACATGCATTCTTGTTAATTCTAATTCTATAGGCATACAGTATTAGGTTGGCTTGAATAGGCGGGGTAAAATTGCATAAAAATTGAAGAAAACTATGAATATGTGAAATATATATATATATGTATATATATATAGAGAGAGATAGAGATAGAGAGAGATGTGCTCCATCCCCAATAAAAACTAGTCAAAGCAAACTATTATACGCTACTTACAAGCACAAGTAACTTGAGTCGAAAAGAATAAAGTTTTCTACATGGAGGAACAAAAAGGATGACTAACCTGCAATTTGAACTTTGAACTTGCACTTATGAAGGAGAATGAAGTTCTCTTTGTATTTGTAAAAAAATTTGAATATTCGTTGCTTTTGGAAGATATTAGCAGACCAACGGACAAGATAAAGAATTGGGAAAGACAATACATTAGGGCTTCAATCAATAAAAAAGCTGTTGACTTTTAAAATTAATGCATTTCAGTTCTTTTTTAAAAATTTTGAGTAATTACAAGCTGACTTTTGAGAATTGGGTATTATATGAAGGACTTATTCAACAAATTTTGTTTTAATTTGAAAAGGTCTCTAGGGCTTACATCTCACTACAAAAATGCGTACACCTCTTGAGACTTTCGCCTCACACCGTCGCCTCGGCATTTTTGGTGCGCATCGCCCCAGGGCTAGCCCCGAAAATGCCTTTTAAAATACTATACTGGACAAGACTATCTTGGAACAATGATGGAGCAATAAAGACTTATAAATAAAAAAGGTAGCAATAAATGATAATAAATGACTTTTAAATATGAAGTGAGACAAAGATCACCCGACAAAGGTGAAATCTTCATATATGCTTTCTGACAATGATAGATGATGATAAGCTATTATATATTCTGATTCTTCTTGGATCGGGAGAGACGGGTGAAAGAAAAAAAAGTGTAAAATAAAGCTTTGTTTCTATTTAATAAAGTTAGAATCTTTCCGAGAGAATGTTGTTGATATTCTTTACAAAAGGTCCAATGCCTCCTTTTGGATTACATCTCTTCCTATTTATAAAGGGAGAATGACACAGTTACCCACAAAAACAGAACTATTTACCCTTGTCTACCCATTTGTTTTTCTACCCATAAACTAATTATATTTCCTATCTATAGTAGTTTTTGTGGGGAATTTTTTCTTTATTCTATAATTCTTTTTTATTTCTATGCTTTTTTTTTTCGTTTCTCCTTTTCTTTTTTCTCGTTTTCTTCTTATTTTTTCCTTTTTCCTTTTCTAATTTTATTTAACTTCTTTTTTTATATATTCTTTTTCTCTTTATAATCTAATTTCCTTTACTGTTTTCACTATTTTTTATTATTCTTTTTTTATACAACAAGAAAAAATAATTGATATAGTAAATATTTGTTCACTTTTTTTTAATATAACTAGTACAATATACATTTTGTTTTATTTCTTTCTTATTTTTTAAATTCAATTATTAAATTGAAATAATATCAGTTGTCACTTGATCTAATTCACTGAATATCACATTGACTGTTGCTGAGCACCATAAATTATATAATCAGATTCTATGAATCAACGCGTGATTGCCATGCAAACCTTGATCTCATTCCCTATAAATATTAGTACACAATCTACCATTAACAATAATACAACCAGTTATAGAGCAAGAAAACATAATCCACGGCAACCAAATCTCCATATATACTAGTTAGAATAAAAATGATAATAAAATATTAAAAAATGCAACAAAAGTATAAGTAACAAAAAGACTTCTAGTACCATGTGATACCAATATGGTATATATGTATACCAACAGAGCATATGATTTCTTTAGAATATTGCTACAACTATCTGCGACTATACTACTGTACCAAAACATTAAAAGACGCAATAAAAGTATGAGAAAATTACATGCTCGTATTGCAAGCTAAATATTCGCAAAACAACTTGCTCATTTCATATACTAAGAAGGTATATAGTTGTATGAGGTCATTCCAACAATTGCCTATAACTATAAAAACTATTACATAGTTGTATGGGGTCGTTCCATCGGCACACAAAAATTCTAGCATTGCAACTCATGTTCATATAAATAATTTCATAATAGAATTCACTAAAATGCAGCTAAAACAATCAAAACAATATTCAAATTATCATATGATACCAATATGACATATAGCTATACCAACATGGTATACAATTTTACTAGTTAATTCTCGTCAGCTATATAACTATTCTACTATTACATAACACACATGCATAAAGAGAAAAAAATATAGTGTACCACATATTAATATAATAAGGTATTTCAAGATATTGTACTATATTATTATTATTAAAAGAAAATCAAATATTGTACTAATTAAATGCAGCTAATACAACCAAAAAATGATTCAACTAGCATATGATACCAATATAATATATAGCTATACTAATAGGGTATATAGTTGGAATGAATTGTATACTAAAATGGTATATTTGTATACTATTTCGGTATACAATACAAATTCGTCTTCTTTTCTAGTTCAACTATATTTCAGTCCAAATTTCTAAAATCTACTACAAAATCTCCACCAAATTGACTAAAACATTAGCTACAACTTCCAATCAACTTTCCAAACAAACATATACAGGATCAGATCAAAACAATTAAAAACTCAAATAAACCAAGTTATGAGTTTCAAGCTT